TCCACTCTAAGTTGGAAGCTGAGCTTGACAAGGTGCTCGAGCAAGAAGAGCTTCTCTGGTTCCAGTGGTCAAGAGAGCAGTGGGTGAAGTTCGGGGAGAAGGACACAACATACTTCAGCCATCAAGTCAATGTTCGGAGAAGGCGCAACAAGATTCTGGCACTCCGTGATGTTAATGGGAACTGGGTGGAGGAGCCTCAAGCTCTTGCTGCCCTTGTTTTATTCTTTGGCTCAGTTGTACTTGCAGGACGATTTGATCTACGAGGACAGATTACCAAAGAATGCTTTCCCCAGACTTGACCAGGCGGAATTGATGCTTCTCCTACGCCCTTTCTCCGTTATCGACATTCACAGAGCCATTTTTTATATGAAGCCGTACCAAGCTCCCGGTTCTTATGTGTTTAGGAGGTCTTCTATCAACAGATGTGGTAGGTGCTGGGTAAGGCCTTAACAGATTTGGCTATTAATTTCTTTTCTATAGGGACCCTGCCAGAAGCTGTCTCAGAGTCTACACTGGTGCTGATCCCGAAGGTGGATAGTCCGGAGTTTGTCTCTCAATTGTGGCCTATATTCCTCAACAACGTCAATTTAAAGGCCATCACAAAGGAAATGACCAGCATATTGAAACCGGTGATGAGAAAGCTCGTCTCACCAAGGCACAACAGCTTCATTCCAGGAAGACAGACGACGGACAACATCATCGTCGTGCAGGAAGCTCTCCACACTCTCGAGAGAAAGAAAGGGAAGAAAGGAGGGCTCATCCTGGAGATCGATCTGGAGAAGGCGTATGATATGCTGAGATGATATTTTCTACGTGACACTCTCAAAGAAGTAGGGCTTCCCAGAACATGGATCAACTGCATCATGTATTGTGTGGAGCATAACCGAATGAGGATTCTCTGGAACGGGGAACTGTCACAAACTTTCACCCCGAATCGGGGAGTTCTCCAGGGAGATCCTCTTTCACCCTACCTTTTTGTTTTGTGCATGGAACGCTTATCCCATAAGATTGATGAGGCAGTTAATAACAAGAGTTGGAAACCCATCCACCTAACAAGGGGAGGGCCGCCTCTTACTCACCTCTTTTTTACAGACGATCTTTTATTGTTTGTAGAAGCAGAGACGAGAAAGATCAGGGTCATTCGGCAGTGCTTAGATGACTTCTGCTTCAGCTCTGGGCAAAGAGTGAATTACAGCAAATCCCTGCTATATGTGTCGTCTAATGTGGATTGGTAGAGGGAAAACCACTTTAGCAGACGAGCTGGCATTCCTCTGAAGATGGAGTTAGGGAAGTATCTAGGGCTTCACACTATCCAAGGAAGGGTCACTCAAAGGTGCTATCAGAGTCTTCTTCTTCGCATCCAGAAGAAACTGGCACCCTAGAAAGAGAAAAGACTATCCTTTGCGGCTCGGCTTACTGTTGTCAAATCTGTTTCGTCCTCTGTTCCCACTTACTGCTTGAATACTGAAGTAATCCCCAGTGCGGTTTGTAAGAGTATTGAAAAGATGAACAAGGATTTTATCTGGGAAGACGAGGAAGACAAGTCGAAGATACATCGGGTAGCCTGGGACAAGATGACTCAGCCCCAGTTGCAAGGTGGAGCTGGCTTAAGATCTCTCAAGCAAGCAAATCTCGCGATGCTTGCGAAGAGCGGATGGAGATTGATAAAGGAGAAAGATAGCCTTTGTACCCAGCAGATGGTGGCCAAATACGGTCATCAGCGGGAGAACCTTGAGATCATGCGTCCAATTCAGGGAAGTTCCTTTACGTGGCAAAGCTTTGCTAAAGCTTCTAATCTCCTTCGGAATGTTTGTGCTTGGAATATCAAGAACGGTAAACACACTAAGTTTTGGCTTGATTCGTGGGTTTTACAGGTCCCGCTCAAGGAGGTTGCTCTTGGTCACATCCCGGAGTCACGTGTAGCTGAGTCGATCGAGAATTTCGTGGTGGAAGATGGAGCCCGGAAGACGGCGCCCTTCGAGGACCTCATCCCGAGCGATGTTTTTCAGAAGATCCTTAGCATTGGATTTGATAAGATGGCCATGGAGGATGACACCATTTTCTGGTCAGCCTCGTCGGATGGGAGGTTTTTGGCGAAATCAGCTTATTCCCTCCAAAACCAGCGATTGCCTAATCCGGACGAGGAAACTTGGAAGATTATCTGGAGCCTTCCTGTACCGGAAAGGATCAGGAATTTCATGTGGCTAACTGTTTTGGGAAGATTGGCGACAAAGTCCATACTGGTCTCTAGGAAAGTGACGACCAACCAAAGTTGTATCAGCTGCGGATAGCGGGTCGAGTCCATCCTCCATATTCTGCGTGACTGTACCTCGATCCTGTACTTCTGGCTTCATCACATCCCGGTGAATCTGCAGACCAACTTCTTCCGTTTGGATGAAAGCAGCTGGTTGCGTGAGAACCTTAAGAGCAGCGAGCAAATGGGCTCGGGCTTGAGCTGGGCTGCTTTCTTCAGCGTCTCAGCCTGGCTCATCTGGAAGAATAGATGCACGTCCTGTTTCAAAGGCCCGAGCTCTGCTCTCTCCCTTCCATCCCTTGAGTTTTCAATTATGGCTAAGTGTAAGCTTTGGCATGAGGCTTGGCAAGCTCCCTCTCCTCTTCCTAATGGTAGAGGGCCGGTGACTGCTCGTACTACTGCGATGGTTGGGTGGACACCCCGATGCACAGATAACTGACTCTCAACATTGATGGGGGCTCTAACGTTAACCCCGGAGCTGCTGGAGCAGGAGGCGTTCTCTACGACTAGACAGGTAAATGGATTGTTGGTTTCACTGCGAACATTGGGATGGCGACAACAGTTTTGGCCGAGCTTTGGGTCGGTTTCATGGTTTGGATATGGCTTGGAAGAAGGGGTGTCGGGCTGTTCGCCTTGAGTCTGACTCCCAGCTTGCGGTATAGCTCATCAACAATAGAAGTGACCCTGTTCACCCTCATGCAACTCTTTTTTCAGCGATCCGTAAGAAGATTAGTCAGGATTGGTTGGTAAGCATGACTCATGTATATCGGGAAGGGAATAGAGTCGCGGACTGGCTCTCAAAGCACAGTCTCGTCTATCCCTACGGTATACATAAGGTTGCTAACCCACCCCCCGAGTTAGCTTCTATTTTTAGAGAAGACACCATGGGCGTATCCTTTGAGCGCCGGATTGTGGTGCCGTGCCACCTTTTTCTGTTCCGTAGGGCCCTCCTGTACTCTGTCTCTCGGCTTTTGCCTTCCTTTACGCAAAAATTTAATGGACAAATTTAATGGACAAAAAATGGTAGAACTATTACAAAAAATTATAAAAAGAAATATCATAAAGCTATAATGAATATATAGTCAATTTCGTAAATAGTACAAGGGGAAGTAATTGATGGGCAAGGAAATTGTAGAAATACTGGAAAAACATCTCAATTAGTTCAGTTAAAACCTTAAGAATTGATTTCCGAAGGTAATACAGTCGAGTTGGTCGGGAGAGTGGTCTTTCGTGTTTGAGATGTGTGAGGTCTCAGGTTTGGACCCTGCTACACCACTTGGTGTTCCCGGAGGCACCGCGAGTGCTTGACACAAAATCTCCCCCTGTAAAATGTTACTTATGCAGGTAATCCCCAGAGTTAGTCGACCCCGCTGCACGTGAGTCGAGGTTCTTGGATAATAAAAAAAACCTTAAGAATTGATAGAATGTTGTGGCAACGCAGAGCTATAGTTTTTCATTTCTTTTTTATTTTCATAACTAATAGCATTCATAGTGTCTCTATTTCGTACATAAAAATTAGAATGTAAATATATTGTATTATCAATTTCATGAAAAGTTCAGAGGATGAAATTAATGGACGAAACCACATGAAAATCAACCACAAGAAAAAGTCACAGTGAATTCCAAAAATGACCACCAAAAATTGTCTTATTAGGGAAACAAATAAAAGATTTGAGTGAAATGAAAAAAACCAAAGTTCGAACAATTGTCACCAACGAAGCGCTATAGTTATATATATATATATATAAATTTAATAGCGGCTCTATTTCATACATAAAAAATTTAATGTAAATATATTGTATTATTAATTTCATGAAAAGTGTAGGAGATGAAATTAATGGACCAAACCACACGAGAAAGTAGAACATACGTGATTGAGAAAGGGGGACGAAGGGTTTCCGTAAAACGCGGAGCGACGAAAATTTTCTTGCGTACAGTAGGGTTTCCGATCGCACGTTCCATGCCGGCGGTGCCTTCACCGCTGGCCGGGGGCAGCCACGATGCTACTATGTTGGAAGACTCGGTGACCGGACAAAGGCGACCCCCGACTGAGTCCTCCTCGCCAAACCCTAAGGGGGAGCGCGAGGCGCAGCAGTCGAAGAAGAGGGCGAAACAAACCGTCCCGAATCCGGAAGCCTCCAGCCAGGCAACAGGATCGGCGGCGGGGACTGAAGGTGATAAGCAACAACAGATGCCCCAACCAGCTACCAAAACCCCGGCATGGGGGGACGGGAGAGGGGCGGCGAGACGTCTCTTCAGTGATGCGGCCAGGACTGAGATGTGGTATATTGCGGACTCTGATTCTGAGGATGTCATGACGGGTATTCGTGAGGATGGGTTAGAACATGACGCTGAAGGGGAGGTCGATCCTAAGTGCCCGGCAATACATTATACCGCGGCGGAGGAAAGAATGTTCTGCCGAGAGTGGAGATCGGCCCTCGTGGTGAAAGCGTTAGGGCGTTCAGTTTCATACACGATGATGTTGAAGCGTTTGCAGGGATTATGGGAGAAGGCGGGATCGATTCAAGTAACGTCGGTTAAAAAAGGCTACTTTCTCGTTCGTTTCACGAGCGGAATAGACTACGAGAGAGCAATAATGGGTGGACCGTGGTTAATAGGGGACAACTACCTAACAGTACACCCATGGACAAAGGATTTTAATCCATACGAGCATGAGATCTCATCGACCCTGGTCTGGGCTAGACTCTTGGAGCTACCGATTCACTACTTCCACCCGGTGGCGGTAATGAGAATTGGAGAACGTATAGGGAAACCTTTGCGGGTAGACCATGCAACAATGTCGGGGGCGCGAAGCGACTACGCCCGGGTCTGTGTCCAGGTCGATTTAACTCGGCCTCTGCTATCCCAGTTTACGATCAATGGGAAGAAATACTTCATACAATATGAGGGGCTTGACAAGATATGCCTGCAGTGTGGTACGTACTTTGAACGAGCTCGTTGTTCTTGCATGGGGCGAAACGAGGACATGGAGGTGGAAGAACCCGTTCCAACCCAGACAAGGACTGAACCTAAACAACCTGAGGCAGTGTATGGGGAGTGGATGATCGCCAAGAAGAAGCCAAGGAACCGTAGGCCGAACCCAGAGTTGGAGGGGGAAAGTCAGGAGAAGCGGGGAGTTCAGGTACCAGGGAGGGACAGGCAGAATGGCTCTCGGTTTAATATTCTGGAGGTGGAAGAAATAGGGGGTGAGGGGGATGCATCGATTGAGATACGTGAGGATCCCATCGTTGAGGAACGGGGCAAAAACAAAGAGAAAGCAAAAGTGAGGGGGAAAGAGAAGGAGGGTTGCTCACCGCCAATTAGTGTAACGTCTAAGACCGGGGACCAATTAACTGTGGATAAGCCGACGGAGCAGCCTCCCTCGGACACCAGTCCTCCCGCTCCTTGTTCTAGTCCACATGGACAAATTGCGAATCACCATGCCCGAGATGCAATTCCACCAAGCCTAGGTAGCCAAGCCGTGAGCATGGGGCCGGGTAAAGGGGTTGTTGGGGGGAATAGCAATGAGGACAATGGCAGTATACATGAGAAGCCACCGGATCCTAGAGGTATGAATGAACCGAAAGGGGATACTCGGACTAGGACGACGGAGCAGAATGGGAAACTACTACGTGATGTGCATGGGAAGTCGGGAGGGGGCCTCAATGGGGAGGCTGTTTCTCTCTGAGTTTCCTAGAGAATGAAGAGCTGCCCTATTAATCCATGGTATCAATGATCAAAATTTTTACATGGAACTGTAGGGGGGCAGGGAGTAAACGTTTCCTGCGTGTGTTCAGGGAATATCGACGGCGATACCGACCGAATATAGTTATTCTGGTGGAACCAAAAATCAGTGGGAATAGAGCGGAAGAGGTCATTCGGGAGTTGGGGTTTGACAAACATATTGTGGTAGAGGCAATAGGCAGATCGGGCGGAATCTGGTAACTGTGGGACTCCGGGGAAGCAACGATCACTGAGGTTGACAGAGGTGAACAGTTCCTCCATGCCAGAGTGCAAAGTGGCCATGATCAATGGGTGCTGACGGCAATCTACGCTAACCCAGCGCTAATCCAGTGTCGGGATTTATGGGGAGCCATTCGTACGATGGCGGAAGAGGTTACTGAGCCTTGGATTTTGACGGGGGACTTCAACTCCATCCTACAGCCGAACGACAAGCTGGGCGGCGCACCGTTTGATGCGGCACGAGCACGGGATTTTCAGGACTGTGTTTTGGATGCCGGGCTAATCGATTTGGGGTTTACTGGACCCCCTTACACGTGGTTCCGAACGGGGATTAAAGAGAGACTTGACAGGGCTTTGGCAAATGCAGCCTGGAACGCCATGTTTCCAGATACAGTTGTGAGTCACCTCCCTAGAATGAGAAGCGATCATCGCCCGATCCTTGCTACACTGAACCCTTTGTTCCAACCAGCCGGCCCAAAACCGTTCAAATTCGTGGCGGCGTGGTTAGTGCACGAGGGGTTTAATGGGATGGCGACGGGAGCCTGGGAGCGGGGGACGGATCTGCTCAGCTCCATAGCAGAATTCACGGCGGAAGCAACGAATTGGAACCATCATGTTTTCGGGAATATTTTCAGAAAGAAAAATGCTATTCTGAGGCGAATAGAACGACTGGAAGTGCAGGGTGGGGGTGATTCTGATGACCCGAGAATCGGCATAGCGAGGGCGGAGCTTGAAGACATCCTTTTACAGGAAGAATTACTTTGGCTCCAAAAATCTCGGTCGACTTGGATTGTGTCAGGGGACAGTAATACGAACTATTTCCATTCAAAAACTATGAGTCGAAGGCGGAGGAACAGGGTGTCGGCCTTGAAGAATAGTCTTGGAGAATGGGTGACGGATCAGAATTCTCTTCTGGACATGGCAAGGCAATTCTATGAGGAATTATACACTGATGAGAATGGGGCTGCTAGTGTGTTACAGGCTTCCTTTGATGAGGTTTCCCCGGAGTTGTGGAATGCTCTTGCTCGACAGGTTTCGATGGAGGAACTTCAGGTCGCGGTAAGGGCGATGGGCGCGCTAAAGGCGCCAGGCAAAGATGGTCTTAACCCGTTGTTCTACCAACGGGAGTGGGAGTTGGTGGGCCCTGCGGTTCTGCAGTTCATTCAAGCCTGCTGGTCGCAGCCTTCGCGGGTGAAGGAGCTGAACGATACGATCGTGGTCCTCATTCCGAAGGTTGCTAAACCGAGCACTATTGATCAGTTCAGACCGATCAGTCTCTGTAATGTAACGTACAAGATGCTTACCAAGTGCCTGGCGGAGAGAATCAAGCCAATTATGCCTCGGCTGGTCCACGAGACTCAGACGAGTTTTGTTCCTGGGCGACATATAACTGATAACATTTGCATTTTGCAGGAAGTGGTCCACTCGATGAGGGCTAAGAAGGGCAAGACAGGATGGATGGTGCTTAAGATTGATTTGGCTAAGGCCTATGACAGAATTAAATGGAGCTTTGTTCGTGACACACTGCAGGCAGCAGGCGCGCCCCAGGAATTCATCGATATTACTATGAGCTGTATCTCCACTCCGTCGATGCAGATTCAGTGGAATGGTGGGTTGACTGAGCCATTTGAACCATCCCGCGGCCTACGTCAAGGCTGTCCTCTCTCCCCGTACATATTTACTTTATGCATGGAACGGCTGGGCCACCTCATTTCAGCGGCAGTGGAGCGAGGAGAGTGGAAGCCTGTGAAAGTATCGAGCCGTGGACCGGCTCTCTCACATTTATTCTTTGCCGATGACTTAATTTTATTCAGTGTGGCCTCACTTGAACAGGTTCAGGTTATTCTGCGGTGTCTGGCGGAATTTGGAGCAGCTTCTGGGCAACAAGTGAGCAGGCCTAAGTCAAGAGTCTTCTTCTCGCGGAATGTCAACCATGCTGAGGGAGGAGACATTAGTAGTGCGCTGAACATTCCGGAGACGAAGAATTTGGGACGCTACTTGGGTGTCCCGGTGATCCATGATAGGGTCTCCAAGGCTACTTTCACAGAACTGATTGATCGGATAGATGCAAGGCTGGCTGGTTGGAAAGTGAAAACGCTGTCCCTGGCAGGGAGGATCACATTAGCTCAGTCTGTCTTGTCATCGCTCCCAGCTTATACTATGCAGACCTCATATCTTCCGGCCTCTGTACGTGAGTACATTGACAGGAAGATAAGAGGATTTATTTGGGGGAGCTCCGAGCAAGGGCGCAAAATTCATCTGGTGGATTGGGACACAGTTTGTAAGCCGAAAGATCAGGGAGGGCTGGGCATGCGTAATGCAAAAAATATGAACGAAGCATACATGTTGAAGATTGCCTGGAGGCTTATGACGGAATCGGAGTCTCTATGGGCGAAAGTCGTGCGCAGTAAGTATTTGAGGAAAACAGAGGATGGGTGGATCCCTAGAACGAGGGGTCGGATGTCTAATCTATGGAAGGGGTGCTAAGGGTACTTCATCTTATTCCCCAAGGGACGTTGTGGAACGTTAAAAGCGGAGAGCAGACGAGATTTTGGGAAGACTGCTGGTTGCAGGACGGGCCACCATTAGCGGACTTTGCCATTGGCTTGCCGGACGCAGCAAAGAAGCTTACTGTAGCCGAGCTGGTTTTGAACGGGGAGTGGAATCTGCAGTACGTCAGAGCCTTTCTTCCAGAACCACTTGTTTTGCAATTGATGCTTCACCCAGTTCCGACAGAGAGAGAGCCGGATGTCCCGACCTGGAAATTATCCCCGACGGGCCTGTTTACCGTCAAATCCGCCTACGAGCTTCTGAGAGCGGAGGAGGAGGCTGGTCAGTCCCACCCGGTTTGGCGACGAGCTTGGCGTGTGGAGGGACCCCAGAGAACCCGCTCCTTCATGTGGCTGGTGATACATGGCAAGCTGCTTACTAACGGGGAGAGACGTAGAAGACATTTAGCTCAGGCGGATGCTTGCCCAGTCTGCGGAGACGGACCGGAGACGACGATGCATGCAGTGCGGGACTGCTCCTACGCCCGGGCAGTGTGGTCCGAAGTTCTGCAAGATGAGCCGGACCGCTTCTTTTTTGAGGAGGATCGTACAAAGTGGATCCACTACTATCTGATGAACAAGAGTAAGGTAATTGATGCCTCTCTTTTCGCCATTCTTTGCTGGAAATTATGGAAGAGCCGAAATACATGGGTGTTTGAGGAAAGATTAGAGCCCCCGGGAATGCTGGCCCGGCGGGCAGTGGAGCTGAAGCAGCACTGCAGGGTAGCCTTTGGGAGAACGCAGCAAATGGTGGGTGATGGAAGGGAGAAATTCGTGGATATGATTGGGTGGGAGAAGCCGCCTCCTGGTTGGATTGCGTTAAATACGGATGGTTCCGTAATCCTATCCGCAGGGAGTGCCACGGCCGGTGGAGTGCTTCGCGACAGCAACGGCAGATTCTTGAGAGCATTCTCAGCTAACCTGGGGGTTCACTCGATCACGCATGCGGAGCTGGCTGGGATCTATCATGGCTTGAGGTTGGCTTGGGAGATGGGAGCCCGGAAGGTGCGACTACAGACGGATTCGAAGACGGCGCTAGCTATCATCCGGACGGAGAGGGATAATCACCCCCATCGCACTTTGGCGAATGCTATTAGGGACTTGCGGAGCAGGGAGTGGGAGGTAACGATGGAACATGTATACCGGGAGGGGAATTATGTTGCTGATTTTTTGGCCAATGCTGGGCACTCGCTAAGCATGGGTCTGCATTTGGTAGATGACCCGGGACCGAGTCTGAGACATTGGCTCTTGTTCGATTCTCTTGGCGTTCAAACGCCCCGTACTATTAATGAATAAGTGTTAGAGCGCCCCATGCGCTCTGGGTTTCACCAAAAAAAAAAAAAAAAACCACACGAGAAAGTCACAGTGAATTCCAAAAATGACCACCAAAATGGTCTTATTAGGGAAACAAATAAAAGATTTGAGTTAAATGGAAAATAAACCAAAGATCGAACAATTGTCACCAACGAAGAGGTCTAATATTACATTGTTTTGTTGGCTGACTTGAGATGTGTAATATCTGTTTTGTTGGCTACTTTGAGAAAATGGGTACCGTACATTGTTTTGGAGATGACCTTTATAGATTTGAGTTAATTGTCTGTTGGTTTTGGTTTCTTTAATTACCATTTGCGATAGGTGGTGGAGTGGGCATAATTCTACATTAATTCACAAAAAGGCAATTTCATTAAGGCTTGTACCGGAAGATAAACGGCTGAAAATTAATCACAAATGGCAATTCCATTAATATAGAATTCATTTAACCTATTTGATTTATTTTTATATTTATACGTGAAAACAGACCAAAAAACGTTCGCAAAAAATTAGCGCGCAACTGAAATACAATTAGGGCCCCTACTCCCTTAGTTATATCAAAGCTAAATCTAGTAAAAATGCACGCGGCCGCCCAAGCCCCCGCAGACACGGAGAATTTTTGGATCTGCTTGAGCAAGACCACAATATCCGTATCCAACTCTCCTAACGAAGAAAAAGAAAAGGGCAGGAAACCTTAATCAGCCGCCATGCACAAGTCCCGATACTTGGCACACTTTCGCTAGCAGCACAAGCAACAACTCGGAGTTTAGCTTGCAAAAGCATAATGCATGAATATCCAGCAACATAAACCCCAAGCCCGCCTAAATGAAAAGGGAAGGTGGTAAGCCAAAACTCCCAATTTCCA